AATTCACCGAATCCGTTGTTGGAGAGTTTAATACTGCTTGAGCCAGAGGTGGGTTCAGGTTCATTGCTGGTGACATCTATACAATGGCGTCTCTGGCTCTGTCGTATCCTACCGCCGCCAAAACGCCTTCGTATCTGGCCTCATCGTCTTCGACTTTCTTCTCCTCATGCTCTGCTCTCTCCTTTAGGACCTCTCAGTTTCGCTCCCCAAACTCTGTCTTCGCTTCTGTTGTAAGCATTTTAATTATCTCCATAACTTTCTCTAGACTTGAGATTCCTAGATTGAGTGGAGCCTTTTATTACCAGTCTTGTCTGGTTTTGAATCTCTGAGATTTTAATAGGTACATGAGCTACAAAGGTGGTCTCTTTCGTCATAATTTGTTTGTTTGTGCGAATGTCACACTATATAATGAGGTCGTTGCTTTAGGCAATGACATGTAGATATGTGGAATACATTCGTTTGATGAATATAGTTTACTATCCATGAACAGAAATTGTGAAGTATACATATGAACCTCTGTTTAAAGTCTTCTTGAAGGTGGTTGTTAAAGATTGGTGTGAATTTGGTTAAACCTCAATTCCAAAACTGTTCTGTTTTTTTTTTATTGCTAGAAATGTGATCTGCCCGAGTCATTGAATGTGGGAAATGGGAATCCAAGTATCCCAATTATTAATGAGAGGACACTTCCAAAGTTCTTGGAATCTGCTCGGATGGAGAAATCGGNCAATAGAACNAATACCAGGTTGAAGTTGTTCTCTGGTACTGCAAATCCAGCACTTGCTCAAGAAATTGCTTGGTATATGGGCTTGGAGCTTGGGAAGATTAACATTAAGAGATTTGCTGATGGAGAGATTTATGTTCAGCTACAAGAGAGTGTTAGGGGATGTGATGTCTATTTGGTGCAGCCTACTTGTACTCCGACAAATGAGAATCTCATGGAGCTTTTGATAATGGTAGATGCTTGCCGAAGAGCATCTGCCAAGAAAGTAACAGCTGTGATTCCGTATTTTGGATATGCAAGAGCTGACAGGAAGGTGAATAGATTACCTACTTTGACCAGTTAGATATCTTGAAGCTAATCAGTAATCTTTGCTTGATAAAACTTCATCTTGTGTATCTTTTTGTTGCTTGCAGACACAAGGGCGTGAATCCATTGCTGCCAAATTGGTTGCAAATCTTATCACTGAAGCTGGTGCAGATCGAGTTCTTGCATGTGATCTTCATTCAGGACAGTCAATGGGTTATTTTGACATTCCAGTCGACCATGTGTACTGCCAGGTACATCTCTAAAGCCACGTTCTTGATAGCTACGGCCTTTCCTCTTTATGCACTGTGTGTATATGCTCCTTTTTTGTATAATACCATTTACCAGTTATGCGTTTAACTTTTTTCAGCCAGTGATACTTGATTATCTTGCTAGTAAGTCAATTTCCTCAGAGGATTTGGTAGTGGTTTCTCCTGATGTTGGTGGAGTAGCCAGGGCACGCGCTTTTGCAAAGAAATTATCAGATGCGCCACTTGCCATTGTCGATAAAAGGCGTCATGGACACAATGTTGCTGAGGTCAGTTATCCCTTTCTCTTAAATTCAGAGTTGCTTCCCCTTGATTTCACATTCATTATACTTTCCTTGCAGGTTATGAACCTAATTGGTGATGTAAGAGGAAAAGTGGCAGTAATGGTGGATGACATGATTGATACTGCTGGTTAGTAAAAAACAGTGTGGAGCTGGCTAAATCTTAATCGTTCAAGAAACGTGTTACCGGCAAACCAAGCTTCCATTTTTCCTACTCCTCATCAAGATCACTAAAAACCCGTTTTCCTTTTTCAGGCCGAATCCTCTTTGAACCATTCTTGCTCTGTTTTTCTTTTTCTTTTCAGGAACCATTGTAAAAGGAGCCGCTTTGTTACACCAGGAGGGTGCTCGGGAGGTCTATGCGTGTTGCACGCATGCTGTTTTCAGGTAAACCGTTAACAGCTATTTTGTTCTTGAAAGGTCTCAAAATCATTATTATCTAAAGCATTTATTTTTGTTTGAAATGAATCAATGGAAGCCCGCCTGCGATAGAGCGATTATCGGGTGGTTTGCTCCAAGAAGTGATAGTGACAAACACATTACCAATAGCTGAGAAGAATTACTTCCCGCAGTTAACAATCTTATCGGTGGCTAATCTTCTGGGTGAGACCATTTGGCGTGTCCATGATGATAGTTCCGTCAGTAGCATTTTCCTTTGACCTCATCTCTCTCTCTCATTGCATCATTTCAATGTTTCGGTTTTGTTAGTTGGTGTAAGGGTCGGTTTAGAAGTTTATCCCGGTTATTTTGTATTTTGATAGCTTTAGGTTTTACTTATTTGCTCCACATTTCACATTATGGATTCACCCAATTGGTCTTGAGCTGATTTTTTATTATAATCGTATACACAACAAGTTTTCAAGTTAATACATCTCAAACATTTCATTATGTGGTCGTTTCACTTGCCTATGCTCTGGACCGGCATTGTTTCATTTTACATTCATTTTTATTTGCGTCTTGATGAAAAAGTAACTTCTGAAACTGTACTTTTGTTCCTAATTTTTGCTTATTTATCTGCTTGAATTTCTTCTAATCGACTACTATAACCTATATTATTCTTATCTGTCTGCTCGAATTTCTTTTGACTACATTTTTGACACGCGTCAAACGCGGGATTAGAATATTTGAAAATAAAATTTCATGATTTTTTGTAATATACAGAATAAATTAGAAATAACAAATATCAAATAGTATATCTCCTATAGACATAATTATATTTTATCTTATAAAAATTAATTTACATAACACTTAGATTAAATATAAGCGTTTTTTATGTAAATCGGATACATTTAAGATTATCGGTTCTTTTAAACTTATTTGAGTTCACCAAATCCAAAAAAAAAATAGGGGCAATTGCAAAAATGCCACTTTTGGTATGTACATTTGCAAGAATGCCCATTTGCAAAAATGCCATTAATTATGAATTTTTAAAGCGTAAATCTTAAAATTATAAACCCTAGAAAATGTTTTGATCCCTAAAACCCTCAAAACTAAACCCTAATAAAACATAGTTAATCCAAACATAAATGATATAATAATTTTTTTTTTGAAAAAGTGGTATTTTTGCAAATATTTTGAAAATGTGCCATTTTTGAAAAGTGTCATTTTTAAAAATTCCTCAAAAAAATATCATGTTAGTATGTAAAATCTTTTCAAATAAAAATAATAATAAAAAAGTGAAAATGATGATTTTTCAAAATTCAAGTTTGATTTGTAAGTTGTACGTTTAGAACAAAAGAGCAACTTTAATTAGAATAATAATGATACAATTAAGCGATAAAAAATGTATGATCAATCACATACTCCCTCCATTTCAAAATATAAGTTGTTTTAGCTATTTTTTTGTTTCAAAATGTAAATTGTTTTGACAATCCTAGTTGCTTTTTAACTTCATTGAATATTGTGTGACCTTTATGTGATTGGTCAAATTATTTTTATTAGATATATTAAATAATACTTTTAAGTAGAAAAATAGTTTCTTAATATCCGCGTTTTTAGCTAAAACAACTTACATTTTGAAACGGAGGGAGTATGATATATAAATGGACATTAATACAATTTTATAAAGTATTTAACTTCGTTAAATGATACATTGTTAAAAAATTATGTTATAAAAATTTAAAATGTTATATTTTAGTTGAATTTAAATTTGTAACATATGTATTTGTGAGATTCACAAAAAAAAAAACATATGTATTTGTGAGTTTATGTTAAAAAATTAATGTAAATATGTAGGGATTTCCAACATGACATATAGACTTAATTAGAATGTTTTGATTGGTTGATTTAATTGATGTTTTCCTTAAATTTTTCTTTACTTGACACATGATTTTTTTTGTGAGTGTCTTCTCAATTAATATATAGAGGATAACTATAAATTAATTTTGTAATATAGTTGAGGTTTGTATTCATGTACGTTAAATGATTAAGGAGGACATACATTTTGAAAAGATGTCTTAATGAGAAAAGTATGCGTTTAATAGATGGACCAAAAGATTTATAGTGACATTATGACATATGCGACTTCTCTTCCTAGGGCCGGCTTTAAGAAGTTCTACGAGAGCTATAGCCATCGACAATAAGATTTCTAAGTTAAAATATTATCATTGATTTCTTTTGAAAGTTTAATTCCATCAAGAGAAACGAGCCTAGATTCTAATGTTCTTTTTTTGTTATCCAATATAATGCTTTTATATCATGCATCGGTGTTTACAAAATCATTGAGATCAAACATATATTATACTTTGTTCAAGATGAAAAATTAAACTAATTCAGATAATTTATTCTACCTAGAATGGTTTGTTCAAGATGAAATTAGACTAATTCAAATAATTTTTGTACAAACTAAATTTCGTTTGAAATTGAGTTTTACATAGTTTGATTTGTTTATGTAGACTGTAGACATACGTATACATGTATCAAGTACCAACCATAAACATGGATTTGTCTTCGGTATGTTCCATTATCTAGGATATCAAATAAGATATTGTAGAGAATTGATCGCAGTCGAATAACATTCATTAGTCCACTAAAAATTTGCACTATTAACCATTAATTTTAGTTTCAAAAAAAAAAAAAAAATTTGCACTATCTCACTAGCTAGAAATCGAGTTTCTCGCCAGAGTACACGTAGTACGGTAGTTTACACACCACCCAACTAGCACCATGATCTGGGGTTCGATCCCCACCTTCTCCCTCTGAGGAGATAATAGGCCAGTGGGCCGGCCGTTGTGGCCCACATGTCGACAAAAAAAAAAAAAAGATCGAGTTTCTCTCTTTACTGTTGTAAAGATTAATTATGGTAATGGACCAGTTGTTGTGGTTTAAATGACTAAAAAAAAATTGTATTTGTTCAATCATAGGAAAAGAAAGAAAGTGAGATATATCACATAATAAATTATCTTGTTTGAGAAAAAGATAATAGAATTCTTAGACCAAGTCCACATTGCTTACGGGCAAGAACAAAAGTCATCAAAACCATTGTTAAGAATACCTAAACATTCTTTTTC